AAAATGTTTTTTTGCTCAAGTTATATAAGCTTTTTTATAAGCAGTAGTAAACATAAGTGTCTTTAAAGGTAAGTTATTTTTATAGCCTATTTTTGCCAGATGTCTTGAAATAGTTAAATATAATATTTTGATATTTATATTTAATAATTTAATTATCAAAGTTCTTGTAGAGAGTCTTGAATTATAATATAAATATTAATTAATTGCTTTTGATACATGAGAAATAATCTTTTTAAGATGACCTTCACCTGATTTTCTTGAATTATTACCTTTAAAGTTTAATTTTTTAAGATTATAATAAATTGTTGATATATTTATATCAGTTCTGAAATATATTTTATTTGCAAAAGTAATTCTATTATTTCACAAATACTGTATAATATAGTTTATTATTGTATATTTTTTCTAAAGATAACATTATAAGAGTTTGTTTATAAAAAAAATAATAATAAATTGAAGTTTTAAGGATATATATATATTTGTTAGAATATGTTGTTTATATATTTAAAATTTCATGTAAATTGCTTCTATTTTAAAAAAATTATTTATATTTATATCACATAAATAAAATTTCAAAAAGTTTTGCAATACATTATATATAAAATAAAATATATGAAATTATATTTTTTTAATATTTCTTATTATATATTAATTAATTAATTTAAAAATTTAATTAATTATTATTCAAAAGTTTTAGTGTAATTAAATATTTAAAATCAAATTAAAATAAACAAGCTTTTAAAAAACCAAAAAATAATTTTGTATAATACAATATACAATATAATAATTTTTATTTTTATTTTATTTATTTATAATCATATATTATATAAAAACTTTTATTATAACTATAATTTATTTATTTATTTTTGATTAATTTTAATACAATATAAAAAAATAATATTGTTTATAATTATTTTTTTAAAAAAAAATTCAATATATATTAAGATAATATAATAGTTTATTATATAAAAATCAAGAATATTGTATATTATAATTAATTATTTAAAAAAAAAACAATGTTTGAAGCAAAATCAACAATATTTTTATTTAAGAAAAAAAAATCAATACTTAATTAAAATGGTAAAAGATATACAGTATTTTATATTTATTTGGCATTGTATGCTATGAAACTGTGAATTCAAATAAAATGATAAAATGGTATATTACAAACAAAAAAAAATAATATGATAATGTGTATAAAACATTTATTACTCATTAATATATTATACAACTATTTTTTTACATAAAAAAAGTACTAAAAACTTTTAACAAGAATTAAAATCCTGATTATTCTATACAGTATACGGTATAACCTTAATATTGGGAATGATCAGGTTCACGAAAATAGATATTATTCTTTTTACAAAATTCTACCGCAGCAGGAATGCCACCACAGGCAGCACGTTTGATCCAATATATGCCTTCAGTTACATCCCTTTTAACACTGATACCTTTATAATACATTATTCCGACATTATACATTGCTATGGCATCGCCTTTTTCGGCCGCTTCGCAAAAATACTTGTGTGCCAATTCAGCATTTTTTTCTACACCATAGCCACTT